AGTTCTCCTCTGGCCTCCTGAGTGCCTACTGTCGTGCGCGAGGCATCCGTCAGACCTTCACGCTTCCGGACTCACCACAGCAGAATGGGATTGCTGAGCGCCGCATTGGCATGGTCATGGACGTCGCCCGTACGTCCATGATGCATGCGGCTGCTCCCCATTTTCTGTGGCCGTTTGCGGTCAGATACGCTGCGCACCAGATCAACCTCCACCCCAGGGTCTCTCGATTGGAGACCTCCCCAGCCCTGCTGTGGACGGGGAAGGTTGGCGATGCGTCGGCGTTCCGGGTCTGGGGATCTCGGGCGTTTGTTCGCGACCTGTCTGCGGACAAGCTGTCCCCTCGTGCTTCTCCCTGCGTCTTCCTGGGGTTCCCCCCCGACGCCCCTGGGTGGCAGTTTTACCACCCCACCTCTCGACGTGTTCTGTCCTCCCAGGACGTCACGTTCGACCAGTCGGTACCCTACTACCGCCTCTTCCCCTACCGCACTCCGTCCCTCCCCCCACCCCCGCTCTTCTTGGTACCAGGCCCCCCCCCGGTAGTCCCCCTCCCCCCTCAGGGTCCTGCCCCTTCAGGTGTGTCCCAGGTAGACGCGGTCGAGCCTGTCGAGGTCACTGGTGACTCTGGTGCTGCTGCGGGAGCTGAGCCTGGGGGTGCGGAGTCTGGGGGTGCTGAGCCTGGGGGTGCTGAGCCTGGGGGTGCTGAGCCTGGGGGTGCTGAGCCTGGGGGTGCTGAGCCTGGGGGTGCTGTGCCTGGGGGTGCTGTGCCTAGGGGTGCTGAGCCTGGGGGTGCTGCGCCTGGGGGTGCTGAGCCTGGAGGTGCCGAGCCTGGGGGTGCTGAGTCTGGGGGTGCTGAGTCTGGGGGTGCTGTGCCTGGGTGTGCTTCGTCTCGCCGGGAGCCACTCTCCCCACAAGAGCTGCGTGAGTGGTTTGCCAGGCGCTGGAGGCGTGCTGCTGGTGCTGGTGGTTCTTCGGCTGCAGAGGGTACTGCTGCCGCGCGTTCCGCCGGTGCTCGTACTGTGGGTGCCGGAGCTGCTGAGTCTGAGAGTTCTCCTGGAGCTGGTACTGCTGAGGGTGTTGGCGCTGAGCCTGCCGTTGGCGGTCCGACTGACAGTGCTTCTGGTGGTGCTGCTGGAGGTGCTGCTGGAGTGGGTACTCCTGCCGGGGCTGCTGGTGCTGGTCCTGCTGTTTCTAGCGTCGCCGCGCGGCCCCGACCGTACTTCGTTCCGCTCCTGCAGCAGGTTCTTGGTCTTACACCTCCTCCTCCTCCCTTAGAGGGTCCGCAGCCTGTCCTGTCACAGCCACAGCTACAGCCTGCCTCCCCTTTGCCTGCTCCTTCTCCCTACGCTGGTCCGACTGGAGGTCTTACTGAGCGTCGTGAGCCTGCATCTCGTCCTGTGTCGCCTGTTCGTACTGAGCGCGCTAGTGGTCGCGGGTCGCGTCAGCGTCCTCCTCCTGTCTCTGGCACGCACCGGATGTCACTGCGTCCGTCCACTGCTCCTCTGCGTGCCCCTTTGCCTTCTCCTCCTGCTTCCTCTCTACCTGCTCTTGCCGACTCGGAGTCGGACTCTCTTCATGCTGCCAGTCCTACTGTCACGCGTCTCCTTGCTACTGCTGTCACTGACCCTTCCTTCGAGTCGTCTGCTGCGTCTGCCCTTGTCACTGAGCTTGTCAACTTTGCTGCGCGCTGTCGTCTAGACTACGCTGCTTGTCTTGTCACTGAGTCCGAGTCCGCCATGTCCTCCGTCCGTCGGGGGTGAGTGTGCCCTTGGCACGGACGTCCTTGAGGACAGGCAGGAGGAGTTCCAGTGTCTGGCCGCCGCTTCACCTCGTCTCGCGTCTGTACTGCTAGCCCCTGAGGGAGACCCGGATGCACCAGACATCCCGACTTCGCGCTCTTACGCGGAGGCGATAGAGGGTCCCTACTCCTCTCAGTGGCAGGCAGCTATGGATGCAGAGATGGCTTCCTGGAAGTCCACAGGCACCTACGTTGACGCTGTTCCCCCTCCTGGGGCGAACATCGTCAGTGGCATGTGGATTTTCAGGGTGAAGCGGCCGCCGGGTTCTCCGCCTGTCTTCAAGGCGCGTTACGTGGCTCGTGGCTTCAGTCAGCGGCAGGGGGTGGACTACTTTCAGACCTTCTCCCCCACCCCGAAGATGACCACTCTTCGGGTTCTGCTGCACGTTGCTGCTCACCGTGACTACGAGCTGCACTCTCTCGACTTCAGCACAGCTTTCTTGCAGGGCAGCCTGCACGAGGAGATCTGGCTGCGTCGCCCACCTGGCTTCACTGGGTCTTTCCCTCCTGGCACCCAGTGGAGTCTTCGGCGTCCAGTCTACGGTCTCCGCCAGGCGCCACGTGAGTGGCACGACACACTGAGGACTACGCTCGCGGCACTTGGGTTTGCTCCTTCTACTGCCGACCCGTCGCTGTTTCTGCGCACCGACACCTCTCTGCCCCCGTTCTACATCCTCGTGTACGTCGACGACTTGGTCTTTGCCACAGCTGACACTGCTGGACTCGCCTACGTGAAGTCCGAGCTGCAGAAGAGACACACGTGCACTGACCTGGGTGAACTGCGCAGCTACCTTAGCTTGCAGATCACCCGGGACAGAGCACGCCGCACCATTACCCTGACTCAGTCACACATGGTGCAGCAGGTCCTTCAGCGCTTCGGCTTCACAGTACTCCTCGCCTCAGGCCACTCCTCTGCCTACTCGCCACTCGCTCTCAGCTCTGCCTTCGGATGAGTCCGTAGAGTCGAGTGGCCCGTTTGCAGAGCTTGTTGGCTGCCTCATGTACCTGATGACTTGCACACGACCTGACCTCGCATACCCTCTTAGCATTCTCGCACGCTTTGTTGCTCCTGGGAGACACCGACCAGAGTACATGGCTGCAGCGAAGAGGGTGTTGCGCTACTTGTGCAGTACGTCGGGCATGGGGCTAGTGCTTGGAGGGCGCAGTCCAGTGGTCCTCACTGGGCACGGCAGACGCTTCTTGGGCTGACGACCAGGCTACGCAGCGGTCGTCACAGGGTTACACCTTCAGCCTTGGTTCCGGCTCTGTCTCGTGGCGGGCTACCCGCCCGTCTTCTGTTCTCGGCTCCAGTTGTGAGGCTGAGATCTACGCTGGGGCTATGGCTGCACAGGAGTTACGCTGGCTCACCTACCTGCTGACCGACCTTGGAGAGCAGCCTCGTTCTCCTCCAGTCCTGTACGTAGACAACAAGGCCATGCTGGCCTTCTGTCGAGAGCAGCGACTGGAGCACAGAACGAAGCACATTGCTCTCCGCTGCTTTCTTGCTCGTGAGCTACAGCAGCGTGGACAGTTGCGACTTGCGTACGTGGCCTCTGAGGCCAACACTGCTGATGTCTTCACCAAGGCACTTGCGCCTTGTGATCATCAGCGTTGTTGCACGCAGTTAGGTCTTGTGTCTATCTTGCCTCACTTGCTCTCCTCTTGACCTTGCTTGTACCTTCGCCTATATATACTCTTGCTCTTGCTTGCTTGACTCTTGTATATCTCTATATATGATCTTGCATGTGAACTGGCCTTCTTGCCTTTGAACTTGTGCTCGGAATGCGTGGTGACTTTGTGATCCACCCTGAGCTTTTCTTTGCTTTGCTTGACTGGTCTTGTGACCCCTTGTTCTCCCCCACTTTGCCTATGGGGGTGTGTCAGAACATATAGCTTACTTGTTTCTGTAGGCTATAGTGGGGTATCCCATAGGGGGTACAACCCAATTAGGGTTTCACATTTGTACTCACTTCATTTCATAGTTCCATCATTCTCGTTCACACTTTCTCAAGCGCACCCGTTGAAAAAACTTGTTTTATTATAAGCGCACGTAAACTTTAAAATTTGAAATGTGTTCAAAAAGCTGTAACGATTTTTACTTTAGCAGGCGAATATGTTGCAGATTCGGTTCCCTTCACATTCGGACCCTGCACTAGGATTGGGTCCAGTCAGCAGGACCTGTCAGCAGCTGGATGTGAGTCAGATTGGGTGTATCTTCCGGCGCGCGCGAGAATTTCACAGACGATCCCATGTAACTTCGACTCGATTGAAAAGGCAAGCACGAGACCTACAGTTTGGTGTTAAAAGATATAAAAAAATATGTATGTCATTTTATAAACGCCGGCGCTTATAAATTTACTCGATTATAAGCCCACCCCCATGAAAAAACCTGTTTTATTATTGCTCCCCATGGGGGTATATCCGGGGGGATACGGTACTTTTTGCCTGGTAATAGTTAGCGAGAGGTTTCGGGTTTAGGGGAATTTTTAGTGGGAGGTTGATACGAGGTTTTCTTGATACGAGGATAGGAATACGTTCTAATAACATGTCCTCAATTTATACTTCTTAAAAGAAACAAATTTAATATCATAAGTCCCTGAACTTATGAACTTCTGACACTATGTTTAGACTCCCCGCATTTTTTGTGTTAAGACCCTAAGATCTTACATCCAGGGGATTACGGTACTGTAGACCCAGTGCATTATTGGTGGCCAGAAGGGTGGGGGGAAAGAGAGGGGAGGGGATGGATAAGCTGCAGGAAAGATGTCACTTGGTGGATGGGGGCAGGAGCTTCAACAGCTGCACCGCCCAGGAGAGCAGGTACTGCAGGGAGGGAGCACGGGGAGTGCGGTGACGGGAGAGGACAGTGCAGCGATGTGAGAGGGGTCTGGGCAATGTGGTGAGAAGTAAGGGCGGACGATCATTTGGATGGGTGCGCAGTCAGAGGAAGACGCATACCGGGCAGTCCCGCATGTAGTGGTGAGAGAGCAGCGATGCACACACGCACGCACGCACGCACGCACGCACGCACGCACGCACGCACGCACGCACGCACGCAAGCACGCACGCACACGCACTCACACGCAAGCGCGCACGCGCGCAGAGGACAGAGCAACAAAAAGCATGGAGCAGAGGAACTCACAAGGGCAGCAGAGGCACTCACAAGGGCAGCAGAGGCACTCACAAGGGCAGCAGAGGCACTCACAAGGGCAGCCGAGCCTGGCTTGAAGGACGGCTCGGGGATGTCCCTCACGAACCTGGGGGTGCATGGATGGATGGGCCGTGCGAGGTGGAGCGGAGTGGGATGAGAGGAGCAGCGGGAGCAGCGGGATGAGAGGTTGCAAGACGCATGGAACATGCAGCAGCAGGACTGGTGCTCACAGGCCCAAGGGGCAACGAGCATAGCGTGGGCGTTCCAGCACATGGGTCATGTGGACATTCATGCTGCATGCTGCATCCACATGCCATGCTCGAATCCGCGCACGTGTGCTGATTTAATGTGGGCCAGTGATTGACTGTGACGTTGTGCATGCGTGCATGTGCCATGTCCATGCCACAGTGCACTCACACAATGCGCAGAGCACCGTTCTCGGGCTGGCAGCGAATGAAGGAACAGCCGCGGCTGAATGGGAGAGGCCGGCCATCCACCTCTGACGACGAGACGATGGGGAAGGGTGGAGGGGATGGGAGGAGGGAATGGGAGGAGGGAATGGGAGGAAGGAATGGGAGGAAGGGGATGGGAGGAGGGGATGGAGGAGGGGATGGGATGAAGGCAATTAAAGGAGGCAAAAGAGGGGGCGATTTGCACAGGAGAGGGGGAGGAGTGGCATGAAAAGTGTGGCTTGCCTGCATGCCACATCACCCCACCTGCGAGCCTCATCACCCCACCTGCGTGCCACATCACCCCACCTGCATGCCACATCACCCCACCTGCGTGCCATGTCACCCCACCTGCGTGCCATGTCACCCCACCTGCGTGCCACATCACCCCACCTGCGTGCCACATCACCCCACCTGCGTGCCACATCACCCCGCAGGCACGGGTATCCCCGGTGGAGATGTCGTCAATAATGAAGGCCACTCCGGGCGGCATGGCGTGCAGCACGCGCCTCAGGTGCTGCTCCACCGCCTAGGGGGCACGTGGGGTGTGTGGTCCGTGGTGGGGGGGGCGGAGCACGGGGAGGAGGAGAGGCGGAAACAGGACGAGATGGGACGGTGGCATACGTGGTAGGGGAGCAGGAGGTTTTGGAGGGTTTCAAACAACACTTCCAGAGCCTTGCAGCTTGCATGGCAGCTTGCATAGCTGCTTGCATGGCAGCTTGCATGGCAGCTTGCATGGCAGCTTGCATGGCAGCTTGCATGGCAGCTTGCATGGCAGCTTGCATGGCAGCTTGCATGGCAGCTTGCATGGCAGCTTGCATGGCAGCTTGCATGGCAGCTTGCATGGCAGCTTGCATGGCTGCTTGCATGGCAGCTTGCATGGCAGCTTGCATGGCAGCTTGCATGGCAGGCGGGGCAGCGGCGCACCTGTTTGCCGTGGAGGGCATCGCGGTAGATCATATCTTGGTACTCACACCGCTCCGCCATGCACGCCACTGCGCCCGCCACGTCCCGCGCGTTCACCGCCGCGTACATCCGCTGCGCCACCTGCCACGCCTCCCAGCCATGCTGCCCCTCGCCCCCACCCTTCTTCCCGTCCGCCTCTCCTTCCCCGTCCCCCTCCCCACCTCCTCCTTCCGCGCCCCCCATAGTCGCTCGCACGGACGCGCCACCTCCGCGCCCCCTGATGCACGTGCGCGCCCATCATCGTCTCCCTGCGCGCCCGCCCTGCTGCGCGCGGCGGAACCGCGAGAGCGACAGAACCCTCGCCGCTGCTGCCGGATGCGACGGCGGCGGAGGCAGTGCGGCCGATGAGGGCGTGGCAGGGGAGAGGGCGTGGCGGCAGGGGGAGTGACAATGCGGCAGAGGCCGCCATGAGTGCGCGCGCTGCTTGCTGTCCGCCGCTGCTAGTCGCGCGCTGCTGCTCTGCCGAGTGCGCTGAACGTCCGCCGCCTGCGCTGCCGGCGCGCTTCACAATCGTTTCAGCGCGACGCTCTGGGTTGGCGTCACACACGACACTCGCAGGTTCCCTGTGACGCGCGACGGCAATTCCCGTTCGTCGCCTGGCTGTTGCCCTGAGAAGATGCAAGCCTCAATTGGAAGGCCGTGTTTGCTCATGATTTTGAGAATACTAATAAAGTTATGAATGAACTAAGTGCGCCGAATGAGTGAATATCGAGATTGTTGTGATAACAAAAGACTGACGATAATATAGGGGGGGAGACCTAACTAGGTGAGGAGCACGGGGAAAGTAGGCTTGGGAGTGTACCGATTATTGCGGGGCGACTCGTGGTGGTTTGGGCCAAAATTGTAGGCCGAGCTGGTACGAACCCCTACGAACTCTACCCGCTAAAGTGCGACTAAAAAAATAATCCTTACGTTAGTACTATATTTTCTAGTTCAGGCTTGCATGTCCTTATATGATTATCACATTATTCAATGAAGTATTATAGCTAGAGTGAAAGTACTATTTATACTGGTGGCGTTCTGTGGACACTGGCAGAGGGGGGGCGAGGGGAAATAGGTAGCTTCCCTCTCTGCGTTTTTTTGGTACGACACTTTGGTCGGCCTGTAAAACCATGCCGAGCCAGCCATTTGCCCTCCGACGTAATGGAAGGTAAATGATGATAGAACGGTCATTTACCCCCAAGGATGCACATTCATACGATGTGTTAGGATATGAAATTACATGAGAAGGCATTCATGTAGGCTACAGGAGCCGACTCTACCGAGTACGAAGTCGATGAGTCAGAAGAGTTGAAGCGACGCAGTAACCGTTTGACCAAGACCGATGCAGGCAGAAATACTTGAAATGAAAAGAGCGGGAACAGGTTTTGAACGGGTCTCCGCGCCGTACGGTTTGAACTTGCTGTAATAAGGGAATGCACCCTTTAGAGTACATGGCTAGCCTAGGTCTTTTCGTATTCCTTCGTATTCTTATATAAACCCGATGTATGCATGATTTTATCAACTCGGTCATTTACCTTCACTCTGACCTGAGATTCAATCTTCCGCTGCAATTCTACTCTGCATCAACCCTGAGTGATCCTTCGCTAAGTCCCACTTGGGATTGTAACATGGTATGAAAGCTACTCGGGGATTCTTCGCATCTTCACTTCCGTGAAATTCGCCGAACCAAGATCTAGCGAGCGGCACACGCTCCAAGACCAAAATGGCCGGAGGATCCGGAGGCTAAGCAAACTTGACGGCTGAAGGACAAACCAACCCAGCTGCGACAAATGAGGCGACAACAACCGCGTCTTCACACCACAAGAACGGCCAACGCCACGTTCCAACACACTTCACTTCGTCCTTAGAGCCAACATTGGAACTTTCGACGAAGAAGGCCGCCCACGCCCTTACACTCGCAACATCTATCGCACGGAGATTGACCCGGCTAGGAAAGATCCTAACGCAAAGGGGGAGCTGAGCGTTAAGGAAGAATGTGACAAGATCAGGGCAGAAAAGAAACAAAAGTTGTACGAAAAGCGCATTGCGGAAGGATAGGATGAAGAGTCAACACGACGAGGCGCATGGGGGGACGATGACTACGAACCGGAAGGAGGCGCAACCTCGGCATCCGCCACTGGAGGATGGGGAGCCAACGCCAGCGGCATGGTCACTACGGGAGGATGGGGAACATCTGAACCCGACGAAGGGGAGCTTACGCAAGAGGAATTAGAAGAAGCTGAATAGGAAATGAAAGCTGAGCGCAGATAAGAATCACCCCGCTGAGAAAGTTAGAACGAGAATGAAATGACTATGAATGAAGTGAGTACAAATAGGAAACTCTAGTTGGGTTGTACCCCCTATGGGATACCCCACTATAGCCTACACAAATAAGTAAGCTATAATATTCTGACACACCCCCATAGGCAAAGTGGGGGAGAACAAGGGGTCACAAGACCAGTCAAGCAAAACAAAGCAAAGCTCAGGGTGGATCACAAAGTCACCACACATTCCGAGCACAAGTTCAAGGGCCACAAGGCCAGTTCACATGCAAGACCATATATAGAGATATACAAGAGTCAAGCAAGCAAGAGCAAGAGTATATATATAGGTCGAGGTACAAGCAAGGTCAAGAAATGAGCAAGTGAGGCAAGACAGGCACAGGACCCAACTGCGTGCAGCAACGCTGATGATCACAAGGCGCAAGTGCCTTGGTGAAGACATCAGCAGTGTTGGCCTCAGAGGCCACGTACGCAAGTCGCAACTGTCCACGCTGCTGTAGCTCACGAGCAAGAAAGTGATAAAGTTTGAAGAAAGAAGGAGGGTTGAACTAGCAGAAATGGGGATACAAATAGCAAACCCTAGAAGGGTTGTACTCGCTATAGAGCACCCCACTACAGGGTAGAACATAAGATAATATCCTGACAGAAAGTAGCTGAGAGCAATGTGCTTTGTCCTGTGCTCCAGTCGCTGCTCTCGACACAAGGCCAGCATGGCCTTGTTGTCTACGTACAGGACTAGAGGAGAACGAGGCGGCTCTCCAAGGTCGGTCAACAGGTAGGTGAGCCAGCGTAACTCCTGTGCAGCCATAGCCCCGGCGTAGATCTCAGCCTCACAACTGGAGCCGAGAACAGAAGACGAGCGGGTAGCCCGCCACGAAACAGAGCCGGAACCAAGGCTGAAGGTGTAACCCTGTGACGACCGCTGCGTAGCCTGGTCGTCAGCCCAAGAAGCGTCCGCGTGCCCAATGAAGGACCACTGGACTGCGCCCTCCAAGCACTAGCCCCATGCCCGACGTACTGCACAAATAGCGCAACACCCTCTTCGCTGCAGCCATGTGCTCTGGTCGGAGTCTCCCAGTAGCAACATAGCGTGCAAGAATGCTAAGAGGGTATGCAAGGTCAGGTCGTGTGCAGGTCATCAGGTACATGAGGCAGCCAACAAGCTCTGCATACGGGCCACTCGACTCTACGGACTCATCCGAAGGCAGAGCTGAGAGAGAGTGGCGAGTAGGCAGAGGAGTGGCCTGAGGCGAGGAGTACGTGAAGCCGAAGCGCTGAAGGACCTGCTGCACCATGTGTGACTGAGTAAGGGTAATGGTGCGGCGTGCTCTGTCTCGGCTGATCTGCAAGCCAAGGTAGCTGCGCAGTTCACCCAGGTCAGTGCATGTGTGTCTCTTCTGCAGCTCGGACTTCACGTAGGCGAGTCGAGCAGTGTCAGCTGTGGCAAAGACCAAGTCGTCGACGTACACGAGGATGTAGAATTGCGGAAGAGAGGTGTCGGTGCGCAGAAACAGCGACGGGTCGGAAGTAGAAGGAGCAAACCCAAGTGCCGCCAGCGTAGTCCTCAGTGTGTCGTGCCACTCACGTGGCGTCTGGCGGAGATCGCTAGACTGGACTGCCAGAGACTCCACTGGGTACCAGGAGGGAAAGACCCAGTGAAGCCAGGTGGGCGACGCAGCCAGATCTCCTCGTGCAGGCTGCCCTGCAAGAAAGCTGTGCTGAAGTCGAGAGAGTGCAGCTCGTAGTCACGGTGAGCAGCAACGTGCAGCAGTACCCGAAGAGTGGTCATCTTCGGGGTGGGGGAGAAGGTCTGAAAGTAGTCAACCCCTTGCCGCTGACTGAAGCCACGAGCCACGTAACGCGCCTTGAAGACAGGCGGAGAACCCGGCGGCCGCTTCACCCTGAAAATCCACATGCCACTGACGATGTTCGCCCCAGGAGGGGGAACAGCGTCGACGTAGGTGCCTGTGGACTTCCAGGAAGCCATCTCTGCATCCATAGCTGCCTGCCACTGAGAGGAGTAGGGACCCTCTATCGCCTCCGCGTAAGAGCGCGGAGTCGGGATGTCTAGTGCATCCGGGTCTCCCTTAGAGGCTAGCAGTGTAGACGCGAGATGAGGTGAAGCGGCGGCCAGACACTGGAACTCCTCCTGCCTGTCCTCAAGGACGTCCGTGCCAAGGGCACACTCACCCCCGACGGACGGAGGACAGGGCAGACTCAGACTCAGCGACAAGACTAGCAGCATAGTCTAGACGACAGCGCGTAGCAAAGTCGACGAGCTCAGTGAGAAGGGCAGACGCAGCAGAAGACTCGAAAGAAGGGTCAGTGACAGCAGTAGCAAGGAGACGCGTGATAGTAGGACTGGCAGCACGAAGAGAGTCCGACTCCGGGTCGGCAAGAGCAGGAAGAGAGGAAGCAGGAGGAGAAGGCAAAGGGGCACGCAGAGGAGCAGTAGAGGGACGCAGAGAAATCCGGTGCGTGCCAGGGACAGGAGGAGGACGCTGACGTGAACCGCGACCACTAGCGCGCGCAGTACGTAACAGGCGACGCAGGACGAGACGCAGGCTCACGACGCTCAGTAAGACCTCCAGTCGGACTAGCGTAGGGAGAAGGAGCAGGCAAAGGTGAGGCAGGCTGTAGCTGTGACTGTGACGAGACAGGCTGTGGATCCTCTAAGGGAGGAGGACCAGGAGAAGGTGTAAGACCAAGAACCTGCTGCAGGAGCGGAAAAAAGTACGGCCGGGGCCGCGCGGTGACGCCAGGAACAGCAGGGACAGCACCAGTACCCCCAGCAAGAGTACCCGCTCCAGCAGCACCTCCAGCAACTCCAGAACCTCCAGCAGCACCACCTGGAGCACCGCGAGTCGGACCTCCAGCGGCAGTCTCAGCGTCAACACCCTCAGTAGCACCAGCTCCAGGAGAACCCTCAGACCCAGCAGCTCCAGCACCCACAGTACGAGCACCGCCGGGACGCTCCGCAGTAGTACCCTCTGCAGCCGAAGAACCTCCAGCACCAGCAGCACGCCTCCAGCGCCTGGCAAACCACTCACGTAGCTCCTGAGGGGAAAGTGGCTCTCGACGAGACGAAGCACCTCTAGGCAGAGCACCCCCAGTCTCAGCACCCCCATGCTCAGCACCCCCAGGC